TTCTGGAACATCTTGAGAGCTGCAGAACTGCAATAATACTTTTCTATCTGTACTGTACATGATACAAAATACTGCTTACTGTATCCCGTAATACAGACTTCAAAACACAGCCAAAACCAAACAATTAGTTCCACTCTTCTCTACGCACTAATGCTGACAAATGTTTCTGCCACGAGTAATGAAACAGCACTGAAAGGACTCAATATACAAAACTTGGCAAGATGACTTATCTACCAGACATCAATACAAGACACACAAGTTTTAGCATGGGTTGGACTTCTGGTGTTCACAGAAGAGCATGACTATTTACAACCTTGAGGAGCAAATAAATAGTATATGATTACCTGCCTGAACTAAGAGCATAGTACTGGATGTCAGCAGATTAATTTGAAAAACTACAAATACAAAATGTAGCTCCATTAGACAAACAAGCTATCAGAGCCTGCTCTAATAAAAAAACCTTAATATCACTTCAGTCAAGAATTCCAGCTGGATAGAAACAGAATGAAATTTAATATTGTGCTCAGTGGGTTTGTGAACCTGGAACAGTGTCCTGTAAAACCACTTAACACATTAGAATTTGATCCAAGTTTCTTTTTCTGCATATCTGAGTACACCACAGTATAGACATTTAACACAGTTGTTTTGACAGCTTTATAGCTACAAACAGACCTTAAGCTGCAGTGTATTTCCCACATTTTATCATGGTAAATTGACTGTGGATGAAAAAATGATACAGACTATTGATTTTCTTATTTTGGGATCCTAAGAGATGGGGAAAAACCCCAAACAACCTTCTTTACTAAAACCTTGGGCCAAGATTTTCTTTGCCTCGCCTTCCAACAGCTGATCTCCTTAGTGAGACAAACCATGCAACTCAATGTAGAGCAAGAGACACAGGCTCTATAACCAGAATCAACTAATCCCCTGTGAGACAAACCTTGGAGTGAGGAAGACGGACCATTTTCTTTTGGCTTTTGGGGATACAGAATATCTGGGATTTCCTGCTACTGCAGAATTACTATGTAATCTAATCCATAGATATATGTAACCTAACTCTTCCCAATATTTCTGTTGCTGCAAGCATTTCAGAAGTATAAAACGAGGTAGCACAGTAACCTCACCTCCTTCCCTTCCCCCCAACTTAACCTAAAACACATCAAATGGCCTGAGAGAAGACTCAATACTGAGACAACACTTACTCCACACAAGAGTGAAATGAGTTCTGGAATTCCCTTTTGAAGAGAAAATAAACAAACAAACTAACCCATAATAATCTTCTAACAGGGAGGTTTGAGTCACTTAACTGCAGCACAAGTAGAAAGAGACCATTTTGTGAGTCAGGACGTTCCCTGCTGTGACTAAGTCAAAAGTGTAGTTTTGCCAGTGGACTCCAAGCAAAATGTAGCAGTTACTTCTTATCTTCAGACCTCCACATAAATAAGTAGGGGGCATTTTAAATTACTTTTGTGCATTTGTTCACCATGCTTCAAATCTAAGCATAAAGAACTGTCATTGAGAAGAACACTCTGACCTTCTCCCTAACTATTACAGTTCAAGAGCTACAGTTGCTCTTATGACATGCTACTTCCACAACAATTTTTCTCATGGGACTTGGTAACAATACCTAATCTGCTGGTGATCAAACATCAAGCAGTGTAACTACCAAAAAAAAAACCCAGTCATAAGGATCCAAATACATCCATTCCTGCCCCCTTGGAACTAAGTGTTATCTGCCATGGATCACACAGCCCAATTAAAAAGGTTACCCTGCTACACATACTCATGTGTAATGACTTAAATATCAATACAGCAGTACTATAGACCAATTTAATCTATTGTGCTATGCATTTTCCCCATGGTTAACATGGAAAATCACGACAGGATTATTCAATAACTCATAATTTAAACACTGTAATACCAAAATACATGCTTGCAGCCAAGTGTTTCTTGTAGACAAGCAGTTTTTAATTGGATTTTTTTTTAAAAGGTAAAAATCAATTAGAATTATTTTTAAAAGGTCAAAAAAAATTATGCGATAGGAATTCTGTCTCATGATTAAGCAAATGCAAATATAGCATTTAGTGTGCTTTCATACTAAACATAAAAAGCCAGGACATGGACTTACGTCTATTTATAAAATCTGCTCTGGAAAACTGCTAAATCCTTATAACAGAAGTGACAAGGGTTTGTTTTTTTTTGTTGTTGGTTTTTTTTAAGGTGTCAGGCAAAAGAATGGGAACTGCTGGGGCATACACCATCTGAAAAATACGTAATCAGCTGCAGTAAAACTCCCTTCTCCAGTAAAACTGGCAGGCAAACGTTTAAAAATTACTTTGATCGGTGATTACAAAACAGCAGCCTTGAACATCTACAGAAATAATAGCTTAAGGAAGCGCTCAACCAAAGTAATTTTCAGGACAGCTCAGACCTCTGGGAAAACAGATTTCAAATGCAAGAATTAACAGAGTAGGAAATAATGCATACAAGAACAAGAAACCTCATCCAAATGAGTAAGGCTCTTCTGTACACACACAGTGAAGGAAAATTACGGCAATGTAGGACAGTGTCCTACCTGAGGAGCGACCCTTTTGATCACCTTTTCTGTACAAAGATGACTCACTAGTTTCTATTTTCCTGACTTCCACTGAAGGAATGACAGGACATGTAGTCCTAAGAAGGGCACACAAGCATAGTTAGGGTCAAGATACAGAACCCATGCTATGATGAAGAAGAAAATCCCCTTAAGACTCAGCTAAGGTGCTCCCTTACTTCTCCTATCTTCACTAATTAAGGCTTCCTTTAATATGAAAAATAGGGGCATTACTTTCAACAGGAATATACAGAATAATAACTATTTTCTTAATTATTTTTTTCCTCAAGATCAATGTCCCTGAAGAAGGTATTAAAACTCTTGTCAATACAACTATCAAGGAAATGAGAAGTTAAATTGTAACACTAAAGTCTCAGGCTCAATGGCCAATACTCAAACTGGGCATTACTGAGCATTAAAAATGCCTTTTTAGCTTTTTGAAGGAAGAAAAAAAGAAGTCTTTACTAACTTCTATCAAAACTGTATCAATGAAGTGTATCAAATATGTTACTGAAATATATTTGAACAGAGACATCTGCAACATGCAAACAGAACTTTTTAAACTTCAAGCATCCTCTGTCAGTTAGTTTCTATCTACATTTTGGAACATCTATTCCATTTAGGTGTTTTACAGCTAAAAGAAAAAAGGCAAGTATTCTTTGTTTGAAACTCAAAGTTTAAAATTGCAACCTTTACCTCCACTAAGAGCTCTTGAACTTTCACTTATTCTTCTAAGCATTTTGAGTAAGTCTCTGTCACTATATGGCTGAGTATTTCTGCTCTCCTACTGCTCTTATGTCAATTCCATAGCCACTGTACCAGGAAGCTTAACGTATTTTCAGAAGGTAAGCAAAATGGGAAAACCATGAAAGACAGGTATACACCTGCTTCTCCCGTCTGCACAGGTTGGCATTCAACCACAAGCAGACATAAGTTCACTCAGGTGTTGGCCAGTTCTCAAAACCTGACCTAAAATTATTCTGGGTTTCTAAATTACAGAGCTAACTAACGAACAAGCCTGAAAACTTTATTTTTGCAAGATTCTGTACCCAATCCTTCATCCTGGCATCACATCACTGTGAGGGTGACAGAGCACTGCAACAGGCTGCCCAGAGAGGTTGCGGAATCTCCGCTGGAGACATTAGAAACCTGTCTGGACACGTTCCTGTGTGAGCTACTCTCAGGGATCCTGCTGTGGCAGGTGGGGTTGGACTAGATGATCTTTTGAGGTGCCTTCCAACCCCTACCATTCTGGAATTCTGTGACCTAAAAGAGAAAGGGAGATAAAAGGAAGCTGCCAAGAACCTGCTGTACTAGGGTAGCAGCTTCTAAACCAAAAATTTTAAGCAGAACTGAGACACCAACGAAGTGGGTTATTTCCCAGCTCTGTTATTCCAGTGTTTGACACTGCACAGTATATTCAGTCAGAATGGTATGACAGTTGGAAAGCAGTTTAGACATCATCTTAGACATCTAGAAATAGCCAAGTAACAGAGCTACAAGTAACTTAACACAACTCACCAGAAGAGAATTTGCACAACTGGAAGTCCATAGCACAAATGTGCACATGAGCTTGGGTATGTACCCATTGTGTATTCACGATCAGAATTTTACTTCATAAACACTACAGCATGGACACATCCAAAGGGGTAATTATGAGAAAAAAATTAGCCAGGAAGTGCCAAGATCATAGTACTACTGTATCCACAGTCACCATAAGTATGCACATTACCCTGGGTAACAGAATTACATGGACCTTTTCTAGTGACAGAAAACAATAGCCAGAATGTTAATAACTGTTAAAAGTTAAGCAGAGGAGTTCTTTTGGTAATTATAAAGTTACCACAAAGTTAAAGTGAGGATATGGGGCTTTGATTCAGATTATTTCAGCAAATGTCTACAGTAGTTTAGCAAAATAGTAACCAACAGCTGTCTTAGAGGTTATGGTTTCCACATCAAAACAGTGATGCAGGGCCACACATCACACATCCACCATGTCAGAGAAAAATCTGGAGTTTTGTCTCCAATTCACCTGTATCTGTGTCTTAAATTGAGACTGCAGACTTTAAACTAGAAGGGCCATTTTGCCTGACTGCTACACAGCAGTAATTTGTCATAGAATCAGAGAAGACATCCAAGGGGTATCTACATTTTTAAAGGCTGAAACAATGTTCTGCAGAAATTTGTATAAATGCTCCTGATCAATGATTTGAAGAAATAATAATTTTAAGTATACTTATGTGAACTACTTACAGGTAATGGGTACCATATCCAATATTAACTGCTTGTCATTAATTTCATATTCATTATCAGTCACTTTGAAGACTAATCTCCAGTATAGATTAGACAGAGTCTGAGGCATCCAGCATTTAGCAATACATTACCCAGACTGAACATAACCCTTAATGTATACCGTCTATGCATCCATACAATACTGTAAAACCATAGCTAACATGTTTAATACCCATTTCCATGGAAATGGAAAATTATCCATCACAATTTCTATTCCCAGAAGGCCTAAAGAGCACTCTGCTGCACTGGCAGAAGTCACATCAAACTTGGATACAGTTTATTGAAGATCTACACATCAAAGAGAATAATGAGAAATGAAACCTCATTCAGAACTAACTACAGCTTTCTGGTGTAAAAAGTACCAGCCACCAGTAACACAAAGGATAACACCATCATTAAATTGCTGAATGCTACAGTATTTTGCATGTGCTGAGAAGATGTAGTTGACAGTCCTTGCATCTTATCATTGCTACCAGCCCTCTGATGATACTGTATTTGTCATCCCAGCAAGACTCCTTCTCTATACCAAGAGACACACAGCACTCCTTGACCCTCCCTTCCCCTGCATTACAAACAACACAGAGAATCTTTCTAGGCAAATTCTAGTGCACTTTGGCCATTTTTACATAAATCAATAACACCTGAATACCATACATTATTTTTTAAAATTGTTTCTTACTACATGTATTTTGCCACCTTTAAAAGATGATATTTTAACTTTTAAGCAGAATTATGTGCAATTAAATGTTTTACACAAGATACTGATCTACTCTTTCAAATGTTTTTATAAATGCATTAAGATCATGGCTTGTCTTGGTCACAGCTTTAACAAGTATGCACCTTGCCTGCACATCAGTTGAATGACAATATACTCTTCTGGAATTATGAAGTCTTTAATTTAGAAGTATGAAGAATATATTTTTATTATGTATTTTACTTTATACTTTATCAAAGCTGTATAGATCACATATTACGAGAACACTCCTAACACTCCTGCTCAACATTTTCAAGTAGGTACAAATGCAAAAAGAGACAAATTACTTACCTTGGGTGGTTTTCTAGAAGATTGGCAAAAAAATCAGCAACAATGATGAGCAGTATGAATACGCCATTCAAACAGAGGGAAGAGAGCAAAGAAAAACAGAAGAAACAAAAGTCAGTGTACGTCATTACTATAATCTGATTTTTTTTTGTAATCCACTATGTATTTAAGAATAATCAGGTCACTAGATACTTGTATGATACATCGCAAATTTTTTATCAGTAATTACTTAACTAGTGATATAGCTCCACATTAACAAGAAAATGTCAGATCCCTTATAGGTTTAAAAATCTAATAGTGCTGAGTTACAGAAGGAAGACAAGCATCAGTTTTACTTTGTCATGGAAGTCAAAACAGAGCCCATCTTGTGTGGCAAACAAACTGAGCCTGCAAAGTGGCACACCAAGGTGCCAGGGTGAAGCCCCACTGACTTCAGCAGTGCTACACACATGCTAGACTAAGGTGAAAGTCAAATAAATGTTTCTTGTAGAAATTATAGAACTGTGAATAAAAATAAACCTGTGTTTTCCCTAGCTGCAGAAAGCCTACACAGAGCCTAGGAAGCAAACACAAAAACACCATTACCCTTCACACACAACTCCAATGAGAGATGCCAGAAATAAAGCAGAAACAACAAACCCCCAAACTAAAGACATCAGCTCAGAGTACTTCAACACGTCCTTACATGCTCTTACGCTTCTTCTGGCAGCCACATGGCCACACAGTAATCTAAATCACTTAATGTATTATTGGCGGAATTGGTTGCAAGCAAGATCACTGCTCTGTCTCCACGTGCAGCCTTGTGCTAGCTAATGTCAATACAAGAGTAAAAGTGAAAACACAGCGCAGAATTAGACTGACTTAGACCACTCACAAAAACTAAAACCTTAGGCATATGTTTACATTATGTACTGAAATAAGCCTGCAGTGATACACAGAAGAAATTTCCACTTGTCCTTCACATCTAGAAAAAAAAGCATACAGGTGTGGATGAAGAGAAAAAACAAGCAGAAAGGTCTACAGACAAAACAGCACAAGCAGAGAACACAGCAAGGTTTACAAGATAAGATGATGGATGAAAGCTCTCTAAGCCAGACACACTACACAAAATTCAAAGATATCACAAGGCAACAGTCTCAGTGCAGATACACAAGGGACCAAGCTATGCTTTTATCCACCAGACTACATATACTAACTTCACCAAGTCAGAGGGGGTGACAAAAAACCAAAACAACATTCTGAGCAGTTTTCTTAGCAACCCACAATACAACAGCTCAGCAAAAAAAAAAAAAAAAAGGATGAAGAGAAACAAATCCACAAAGACACCTTACACAATCTTTTCTGCCTACTCTCAGCCCATACCCTAGATGACATGTCTGCCTAGACCAGAAGTTACATAACTGGAACATGGTACCCACGGGATGCAAACAGATTTTGCCTCTAAGCTAAACCACTCACTATAGCTTTACCTTTTCATTAACAGTGCCTACACAGGCTCGGCTCATTGCCAACTCATGTCCAGGTGGCTCAGAACTTGTGCAGAACACACTCTTATCTAGCTAAAAAATACATTTAGCTATAGCTTGAATATTCGTCACTTTAATCAATTTTCAGATGTGATGAAAGTCCAATGTTATCAGCTTGTCTAGCCAAAGCTACAGCACCAGCTCTAAACTTCCAAAACCTAAGTGGAAGAGAAGTTACTATTGAAGGAAGTCATCCTTGTCTTTTTTTGAAAGCTTTTAAATACACCCATGTCTTAAAACTTCCAGAATACACGAGCTTTCCCAGGGAATTCCTGATAGACTGCTGTACTCTTAAACAGTAAAATCAAGTAAAAAAAACAACAGCAAATATATCAGCTTTGTTTTTCTGAGATCAGACTTGCAAGCCCTAATTGGAAAATATACAGAACAACACTGAAGTAAATAAACAGTTTGACACATTTCTTAAACAATGCAAGCCATTATCTTTTAGGAAGCTTCCTCTTTATTTTCCTCTGATGCTCACTTTAGGAAAAGCATAACAGTGGCTTTTTACACCACTCTGGACAGCAGAGCCTCTCAGTTGAAAGCAAGATGTTCATCACTCATCTCTTGGATTTCAAAGCATCAGGAGCTGCAGCTTCCTACTGTATGTCACATCCTACTGCTTCAAAGTCTTCTGCTATTAAGACCAAAGTAGCAGCTCCACAAATCACCTGCTAGCATCACCAGCAGCAACATGATCAAGGGCCTCTGGAGTAAGTCAGCTGTATAGGCTTATAGGATAGATTTTTTGGCACTACTTGGAAATTCCAGCTAAACCATTATCCTGGCAATGATTCAGATGGAGATATTCCAAAATACTTTCTTCAATCAGAAGACTCAGACTAATAAATAAAGAACTGTTTACAGTTTACCAGAAATCACATCTGTAGCAGCTTAAAGACATGCTATAAAACTTGCATCTCAATCAATTTTTCACATTTTTTGTTTTGCATTATGTTTTTAATATGTGCTTCACAGTTTCTTTCCTGTGCCAGAAACTGGCAGCTTTCCATTTCATAAGTAATTGGATTTGTCTGAATTTTTACCAAAGACTGAGCATACAAACGTGGTGATTCAGTGTCACAGTTGGGGCTGGGGTGGGGGTAGACAGCAGATCAGAGGAGATACAACCATTAGAATGTTTATTTCCCATAGTTTATAATTCCGTGTCTCATCATCCATGGTGTCCATGACAACACGTAGGTATAGCTTTTCAACGACAACAAAATCTCTTATAAAGGGAGAGCCAGTACACCTCAGGAAATTATCAGTTACCTAATCTTGTAGTAATGACAGCAGATTTTGGTTTAACTGATGAAAGGCATCTTCTAGCCACACAATCAGAAGGAAGACTGACTTTTACCCCATGCCCAGAACTCAAAATTAAAGTAAATACCACTGAGAGCCTGAAGAAGATTCTCACAGGTCAGAAGTATGAATTTCAATGATCACTAACTTTCCTGAGCACTGTGTCTGCTAAGATCTGCTCCTAGCATCTACTCAGGTCTACTCTTAGAATCTACTCAGGCTTTATCTTTTTGCAACAGTATTAAGCCTCTCCTGTCCAGCTTGGCTAACACACATTAAGATTGCAGAGTGCACAGCTACCTCAACATTCTTATCCAGATCAAGAAAAACGATTCCTAGAGAGCTTTGTGTTGATGCAAACTTTTTTTTCCTGTTGCCTCTTGTTAAAACTAAACTCATATTGCACTTCATATTTGCTAAGAGAATTCATTCACAAAATGTCAGTTCTAGTGTTTCTATACTAGTATGATGAAAGAAAACTGTTCCTGACTGCATTCACATTTTCTACCATCTACCCAGCACCTATAACAGCACACAATGAACGAAATGCACTTTTCTAGTACTTAAACTAAAAAGACTGGTTTTTTTGTTTGTTTTTTTCTAACTACATTATTTCGCAGGCATGTCCCTTTGTCATACAAACCTGGCACTACATATTCTGACTAGGAAACTAGCCCCATGCAACAGAAGACACTCTTGAACTACAAGCATCCAGAAGCATATTATACTATCACTTTCAAGACACAAGCATTTCCAGAACTACACCAATGAGGTTTTTCTGGTCTCTTAGCAAGTGTTGACAACATTCCCAACTAAATGACAGTTTTACCAGAAGGAATGAACAGTTTATACATCAAAAAACTTGAAAGAATTGGATTTTCTCTTTATTCTATAAAATGCAGTTTCATCACTCCACCTTACCTCCAGTCAAAAATGCTCAGTAGAGGCAAGATACATACAAAAATGAGAATATTGGTGTAAAACTATACTTCTCATTGAAGGAGACAGAGGAATATCGCATTTTTTAAAAACCCTACGAGAGCAACAGAACACTAGAACAGGCTGCCCAGAGAGGTTGTGAAGTCTTCTTCTCTGGAGACAATTAAAACCTGTCTGGATATGTTCCTGTGTGATCTACTGTAAGTGATCCTGCTCTAGCAGTGGGGTTCGACTAGAGGATCTTCAGAGGTCTCTTCCAACCACAACCACTCTGTGACTCTGAGACAGATGTTGGATTCTTTGGAATGACACTCAAACAGCCTAATTCACCTCCAGTTTGGCTGTGCTAAGAAGCCAAGTAGGCCACAATCGTACCATAATTATTACACATTTTGGAAAGTATTCTGTGGATTCTTTTCCTTTCTCACAAGTAATTAATGAAGACAAAGGAATCATAACCAGCTATATTAAGCAACCACACACGGTATCTATAGCAGATGGTGAATGAACCACATGGCTTTGCAGCTTGCACTTCTAAGCTGACTTCAGCAGAAACCATCATCTAAGTCACTGAATCTAAAACACCTTTTTGCTCTCATCACATGTGCAACCCAGAGCAAATTAATGGTACTCACTGTTTACCCAAATATATAATTAAGTGTTTACATAAAGTGGTTATATAGTCATTAATGTACTCCTCAAGATCACTGGTCAAAAGAACTATTACAAGCAACTACCAGCATAGTAGAAAAGGGAGAGAAGTCTTCAAGCTTTTATATATTCAGTTGAAAAATAAGTCTCTTTCTTTTCTCTGTAAGCATAAAGTTGAGCAATTTGAAAAGGCCATTCTAATAGGTACATAGGATATTTAACATATATTTTTGAGCTCTCCTTAATAGCATTTGATAGCCAGTGTTTCCAAAATTTGGTTTCCACATATTTGTCACACACAGTGTATTCTGCTGAGAATTCTCCAGTGCTAGAAAATGAATGAATCCTTTGTACAATTCTACAACTCGTTCCCAGTTACGTCAAGTCCGAACTGGTTATTGAACTTGTTATGCTTTTATGCAGATGCAAGGAAGCAGCTTGTGCTCCTCCCTTCTTTGATTTCAGCATGATCTCTTCTCTCACCACTGCTCCAGCATCTCTGGAATCTAAAGACTAGATGTTCAAAACAAATACTATAGTACTGTTTTTGTTTTGTTTTGTTTAATTATTATTTTTATTATTTTGTTTT